TTTTTTTTTTTGTAAACAGTTGTAAACAGTTGTAAACAGTTGATAAAAATAGCGAAATTCCGGATCGAAACTATATAAAGGGTTCTCAATTTTGGTTGTATAGACATGTGTTCGTTATAGGCGTGTTCTTTGGTCTGTTTGGACCAGTTTCAGACAACTTTTGCAAATTCGTAGGTGCTGTTTTCGTTTTTGCGAAGAGGGAAATACGTACCAGACGGGCAGATGGACAGATGGACGGACTAAGAAACTGGCAAATGGATAGACGAACAAACAAACAGATTTAGATGCATTTCGAATTTGAAACTGGCCAAGAACTTATATGCTTTATAGAGTTGATGAAGCTTTCTCCTTTGCATTATAAAGATATTGAAAAGCAAAATTAAATTTTGATACACTACAATACCGGGCAGGCGCGATCAATGTGCCCATTTTTGCATACGTACTACAGTATCACCCAGAGAATATACTTCTAAAGTTTCGAAGATTTTTTTGGTGTGGTATATGAGTAGTGGGGAAAAAACCAATTTTTGATTCCTTTTGAAGGAATCCATCAATCAATTTGTCCCATTCTAATGCGAAATTGCGAGCAAGAACTTCCATGGTTTATGCCAAATTTGAAGTCAATAGGTCGAGGAGAATGTTTACAACGGGCATTACACTGACTGATATGCTTAAATTGATTCGGAATTTGATGCTGATCAAGTTGAGTCTCTGAAGATTCCCTCTCGGCAAAATGTTACAAATGTTTTGACAAAATGAAAATACCTCTCATCCTTTGGTGATGAGTATGAAAATACTTCTGACATCTTAGAAAAATATTCATAAAAAAAAAAATCTTAATATTCCGAAGTTGATTTTATGATTTTTAAATTACAAGAAAAAAAAAATTGAAATCAAATTCTCAATCAATTCTTTGCGGTTTTGGTAAAACCCATCAAAAATCATCACTTAAGTCATGAGATGCATAAAAATACTATTTGTTTGCCAGGGTATGTCTTGGTTGCATCAAATATCTCCATTTCTTTGACAGAATGATTTCATGCTTCAGGCAATACTTGTCGTTCGCCAATGGCGGAGACTATTATGAAATCTTATTGCCGAGAATTAGAACTTTCTTGGATAATTGATAGTGCAGCATTACGATCGTGGAACGTTGGTCGGTGTCCGGACGAAAGATGCTTAAAAATCTTTGAAGAAAATCATTTATCAACGGAACATTACGCTCGCATGGTGAGAAGATACCACTTACAAACATATGTTTGGAAGAAAAAGGGAAAAAAAGGGAAAGGTATATATATTTCTGCTTTTTTTATAGCTCAACTGGGAAGATTTTCAGACTTTCGATTATATTATCTGCATGGACGAGAGCAATGTTAATGAATTGAAGGCCATGTCTCAAATGGTCGGTGAAACATGTAAAGCGCAAGTACAACACTTGGCCCTATACTTATTTGATAAGGATGAAAAGATGATTAAAGATCCTTTCTGCGTAAATAACAAATACAATTTAAATTTACATTTAAATAAAGCCTTCCCCTTTCTTATTTTAGACTTTCGGCCTTACCGGTTTTCGTCGAACTTTCGATCAAATTTCTTGCTGTTGCCGCAGACTTTTAATAGTGATTCATTATTGCGAACATCATGCATTCCGTTTAGTTTGGAATAGCATTTGCAAATATCTCTCTCTCCCTACCTTCCTCAACCCAAAGCCGGAAACGAAGAGCACTGATCTATAGAATTACATCATGAGTGTATAATTAATTCCAAATTGTATAGTTTATTAAAGGTACATGTGTTTTGTTTTTCGTAAATATAAAAATTCAAAAATTAATTTTCCTGTAAGATTTTTATCTATAAAATCATTTTTTTTTTTATATTCATTAACGGACAGACCGACAGGGACTCGACTATGAAACAAAGACTCGGCGACTAAAATTTGTACAGAGCCCATCGAGCAATTGGCGAACCATCACCATGATTGCTTATTCAGTTTATTCTAAACGAAAATTAAAGGGGAGAGGCTGAAAGTATCGAATGCATTTTTCATTTATGCGACGTAGGACGATTCAAGTTAACAATACATATGTGAAATGCAGACATTTCGAAGAGCTACAAATAGTGAAGGGCTGACTGTGAGCAGTGAACAAAACCAACAAAAGTTGCAGAGTCTTGCGGTCTTGTCCTTGTTCCTATTAATATTTCACATTTAATTTTTCTTAAAACTGAATTTCTTTATTACAAACATTAATGCCTTGAACCATAATACAGGAGATATTGTTATTCTTTACATATCTAGGATTTCGTTTGTGTTAAGGACGTTCTAAAGTCACTAAGAACTCGTTTCACCCCTGGGACACAGAGATGCTGTCATATCAGCTAACATCTCCTGGGACACACCTCGGTCTTTCTGTTATTCGAGCAATTTTCGGTTCATTTGTCGATGGAATTAGCTTTCGTTTTGCACGAAGATATCAAGGAAACCTAAAAAATTACTTTCAAAGATCTTAATGCCATCATTATGAGTATCGTGTAAATGATCATTGCTGCTTGCCATTAGATGAAGTGAAGAGGCCATCTCGTCTACACTTTTTTGTTTTTCTCTCAAGCCGAGCTATATGCGTAAATTCGTTTTCATTCGAATCTTGAACAATATTAAAAAATGTATTTCGCACTTGCAATTTCATTGGCGATTAACTGATTGGTAAACACTTGTCTTGCTTTATGTTTGTTTGAGTAGATTAAGGATGCACAAGAAGAACGAGAAATCTTTTGATTCTGTCAAAAATTACAAAACCAATTATTCAGGATTAGTTAAGATTCGTTATCGTATCGAACTTTTGGCGGACTATGCGCCGTGATCACAATAATTAATAAGCAAATACACAGCAAAACATACGGATGCACAAGAAATCTTAAGGACAATGATAAAAAAAAAGGTTAGGAGAGAATCGGTAAGAAAAAGCGAGGATGAAGAGAGCAAAGTAATAAAAACCATACGCAGAATGATTTGAGATGAACTGACAATTTAGTAGGCAAATGGAATGGGAATCATGTTCTGAAACGACTTAAACATGTCAGACGGTATGTCTTCATTGTGTAGATCACAATCTTCAAAATATTTTCATGAAAAAATACTTGCATATTTTCGCCCAAGAACCAATGTTGAACGATTGCTTTGGGCTATGTATAGCGCGACATTTTGGAAAAGTTGTTATATATATGAAAAAAAAACCATTTTCATTATTTTCAGAGAAAAATCGTTGAAAAATGCCGTTCGATGTAAACAAACAAAAAATCAAAATGTGGGAAAATCTGCATGGAACAATTTGCTGAGCCTTCTTTCAACGCTTTTACGCAAAATAGTTTTTCATGCGAGAATGGGGTCCAAAAATGTAGTATTTTATAATGACAAATAAAGCAAATCTTTATATGACCTTTTATGCGGAAGTGAATTAATCATTAAAAATACGTACTCTAACAAGGAAATTCACCTCACTAATTGTGGGCCACGTGGATTCAAGTTTTCCATCGATGCCACCATTATTATCATAAATATATGTCTTTGTGTTGCAATATTAAGATAGGCGGCAACCTGGACTATGAGTTAGGTACTTTAAAAGTTAGCCTTGCTCAAAAATTAATTTATCGTCTTTCTGGCAAGAAGTAGAAACTCTGCACCTTTCGAGCGAAAATGTCTTCAATTGACATAAGGGAGGGCTTTTTATACCCACCAATGAAGGATGGAATTTGGGGATGCTTTAAGGACCCTATAAAATATATATATTCTTAGTCAGCATGAAATTCTGAGCTGATTAAGCCGCATATGTCCGTCTGCGTCTATGTGTAATGTGTATTATTTACACTCTCCTGGTCGCAAAAATGGAGATATCACATTCACATTTAATGACAACATTAAAAGTTTTTGAATGCAAGTTAATATTAGAAATGGGCCAAAACGATCGGAGCGGAAGCCCTCTATTTGTAAGTAAAAGCGGAAAAAATCGGCCATGCCCCATCTAAGTTACAAGAGATTACATTTTTTTTGTTTTTCATTTTTTTGAACTTTCATACTTATTAATCATAAGGTAAACAAGACAGGATGTTTAAAACTATTTTAGACATTCCCCAAGTGAAGATGTATTATCTGCCTAAAAATGCGTTAATTCGAAAATAAATATGACAGATACCGAGACCTGGTTTGTTAATAATACTGCCGATATGGGTATCAAATAAAAGGATCCGGAGACTAGAAGGCGACACGATAAGCGAGTTAATCCTAAATAATTATGGTTAGGGTCACGGCGTATTGGATCAAGGTGTTTGTTACAATACTGTTGCTATAGGTATCACATAAAAGAGAGTAGAATGCGACAAGCTAAATGTGTTAATTCTAAATGAATTGTGGTGGATATTACGAAATAGTGGATAAACTTTCGTCACAAAGTAGTCAACTAATATGTCTTAGCAATAGCCTTTAATGAAGTGGAAGGTGCAAGGAAAATATAATTGCTTATGACAATAAATAAAAGAAGGGGACGCCAAAAAATGGTGGAGTGAATGCGAGATTCAGTCACTGTCGAACGTAACTTTCTTACTTGTTTACTGTACTCTCAGCTTACAAAATTATAGTTCGCAAATTTAAGACTAAATTTTGAATAAACTTTAATATATAAATAAATGTAAATAGCAAGTTTCCAACATTGGTTTTCGAAATCTTGCAGGTTGGCTTTGTCTAATAGATAACTTATGGCTTACTTGACCTATCCCTAGATTAACATAAAAGTGACTTTCTTTCCCTGCTCTAAGGAGCTTAGCGCCTCAGTCCATATAATAGGACATGTAAGAAAATTCCAAACCAGGGCGATATATTT